AGAAGTGATAAAATTTAAAACACTTTATCTCCTTTCACTTAGTTATTCAGTAATTTAGTCTTTTTTATGGGGAGAAAAGTATGTATTTAGCTGGACTCAGGTTAGATGATCTCAATTTTGTTGGCAACATCCAGCGCATCATAATTGGGAGCCAGTTGAGCATGTGCCTTCTTCTCCCCATCAGGCCTGACTAGGGTATTGATCTTGGCAACATTAATGTCATACAGCTTCTTTGCAGCTTGTTTGATTTGGTACTTATTGGCTTTGACATCCACAATGAACACAAGTGTGTTGTTGTCCTCAGTCTTTTTCATGGCTGATTCTGTGGTGGGGAGAACTTGATGATGGCATAGTGGTCAAGCTTGTTCCTCCTGGGTGCACTCTTCGGAGGGTATTTGGGTGGCCTCCAAAGCAGCAGTGTCTTGGGACAGCAGAAGGTGTTCTTTTTGTGGCCGTGGATGCCTTTCAGCACAGCCTTCATGGCCTTCAAAGCTTCTGTTTTGGCTTCAGTTTTGGGAGGAGAGGGGTCTTTCTTCTTCGCCTTCAGCACCATCTTGGTAAAAATTTAGTCTTGAAGTGTGTGTAAGTAATAGTCATTTTTGCAATTAGGTATAACAAAACAACTTTAGAATTTATCTCCAGCATTGCTAACATATTTCATCAAGGTGATCTTAATAATTGGGTTTGTTTTTTTTTTTAATGTATTTGGTACAGGGTCTAAATACACAGCTCAAACTCATAGTGATCTTCCTGTTTTCAGCCCTCTCCCACCCCCCCACACCCAGCACTGGAATTACAGGTGAGAGCACCACGCCCAGACTCGTTGGCCAGCTCAGTGCACTCGGAGCTGGGGCTGGCGCAACATGTGGCACCTGGGATCGAACCCCAATCCCTGCACTTGCCTGAGCAGGCACTTAGTCCACTGAGCTATCTCACTAGCTCTAATAATTGTTTGTTATTCGTATTTTTCTCAACTAGGAAGTGTCAAAACTCCGATCTCAGCTTGCTAAAAAGAAACACAATGAGATAAAACTTCAGGAGGAACTGAATAAAGTCCTGGGTGTCAAGCGCTTTGACCCTTCAAAGGCTTTTCAACACGAATGTAAAGAGAATGTTGCCCTCCAAACCCCACTGAAGGAAGGCAAAAAGGGAATACATGTGTAGACCTGTTATCCTCTGGATTTGCCTTCATGACCGCGGCTTCCTTCTGATGGACCATGAAAATTTGATGTTGCCGTCTGGTATGAAAGAAAGTTTTCATGAAATTGATGTATACAGTGCCTTTCTAGCTTTCATATTCTTCTACAGATCAGATCCTTTCTGTCCTTCAGGCCCCACTCAGATTACGTCCTCCTCTTACCTTGTGTGACTTTGTTTCTCCTACCTTCACCTTGCACCATAAAGTATTACCTGTATAAAACTTTTATATTTTAACGTAAATGTCTTGTAGGTCCTTAATTATTTTCTAATTTGAAATTTTAGAGAAGTAAATTTTCTCTTTTTTGACTGAGCCTCTGTATCTCCTAGTAAATCCAAATTGATTGAAATAGTAAATAAAGGCATAAAAGTAAAATAATGCTGCAGAATGTAAGCCTTGCTTCATCTGCCTTCAAGAAGGCCTGGAGGGGGGCCTGCCCCTTAGCTTAGTTCTTTAAGTGGCTGCTTCAACAAAGCAGTCAGGCTCAGGTTGCTGTGGTTTGATCCCCCACAACTCAAGCCAGCCAAACCTGCCCTGCAGGCATTCGGACCAAAAAAAGAAAAGAGAAGGCCTGGAGGTGGTAAAGGAGGAGCAAGCCCACTCAACCCGCCTCCAGCTTTCTTGGCCGGTGGTGCACAGGGAGGAGACAGCAGCCTCAGGGAGCCACCTGAATGGCAACAGGGAAGGGGGAGCTGCCTGTACAGCTGAGAAAGAAGCGATGGACAAAGGGTGAAGGAGCTGTTGCAGGGCAGCAGGAGCCTGGTAAAGAAGCAGGAGCCCCTGTGGATGAGGTCAGAACAGTTCGAAATTCTGCATTGGAAGAGAACGATGACAGTGATGGAAAGAAAAGGAGGAGGACCGGAAGTTCAGACAGCTCCTCCCTGGGTTCCCCAAAGGCTGGGAAGGAATGGGAGGATCCTCCTCCCACACCTGCAAGCACGTGCTGGGAGAACTACAAGGGAAGAAAAGAAAGCATCGGATTGGGCTACTGAAGAGATCAGGGATGATTTTTCAGAAGCTGTGAAAGCACATTGTCAAGTTAGAGAATTTGTGATAAGCTGGATCCAGCCTGGGATGCTGATGGTAGTGCAGATGACGGCAGTGCAGGTGATGGTAGTGTGGGTGATGGTGATAGAAATCTGTGAGCTGTGCATGCGCGCAAGTGAAATAAGCCAGGCACACGAGTAAACATCGTCGTGTCTCCTTGGTGTGAGAAGCTGAAGGAATAAGTAAGGTCCAAGGTGTCCGATACATATTGGGAAATGGGAAGAAACTTCAGAAGGAAAGAGAAACTGGATTAGGAGAGTAGAGAAAGAGGAAAGCTTAAAGCAAAAGGAAGAACTAATTGTGTGTGTGAGAGAGAGAGTGAGAGATAGTTATGTTACTAATTTCTTTTAGTTAATTGATCAGGTTTGTGCAGGGCCGGAGAGTTAGCTCAGTAGACTAAGCACCTGCCTGGCAAGCACAGGGTCCTGAGTTCAGTCCCCGGTACCACAAAAAAAAAAAAAATAGGGGCCAGCAAGATAGCTCAGTAGAATAAGCGCTTGCCTGGCAAGTATAAGTTCCTGAGTTCAATCCCTGGTTCTGCCCAAAAAAAAAAAGGTTTGTGCTAATATTGGTTGGATAATTAAATACTGATACCTTGTACTCTGAATAGCTAATTTAAAGATATAGTATGCAATGTTGTTAACCATTGTTATCCTCTTATTTTGAAATTTTAGTTTTTGGGAATTTTTTTAATAGATTGCAAATTGAGAATAAATTATTTACAAACATAAATGAATATAACAATAAAAACTGTCCAAAATAAAAATGAAAAAATTTACAGATCAGTCATAATAGTTCACTGTGTCAAAGCCAAGAAACTTATATTCATATAATTAGAATTCTCAAAGTAGAAAGGAGTAGCCAATAAATATTTATTTTTTTTTATTTTTATTTATTTGAGAGAGAGAGAGAGAGTGTGTGGTGTGTGTGTGGCCAGCTCAGCCCACCAGGGGGCGGGGCTGGCTGGCATGTGGTGCTGGGGGA